CTTGAGCTCCTGTGGGGGGGGGGGGGGAACGCAGGGTTCTGGGATTCTCTGAAGCCCTTTTTCCAAAAAGGAGTTTCACCCAGGTCTTCTTCTTGGGGATGGATCAAACGCAGAACAAAGGAACCTCCATGGATGTGGAGTTGTGGAAAGATGGGGAATTAAGATTGAACTTCTCTCTCTTGAAACAGACATTAATCTTGTTGCACACCCATGTGTAAGGCATCTATGTCATTTCTGCGGCAGCTTGGAAACTCCTCTTGCCTTGGTTAGGTTGGGATCATTCTTCTGGACCAGGCCTGCAGAGGTTCCAGTAAAGTCCAGAGAACCAAAATGCAGACTTGCTCTCTTTGGTTGTCTGCTCTCTCTCTCTCTCTCTCTCTCTCTCTCTCTCTCTCTTTCTCTCTCTCTCTCTCTCTCTCTCTCTCTCTCTCTCTCTCTCTCTCTCTCTCTCTCTCTCTCTCTCTCTCTCTCTCTCTCTCTCTCTCTCTCTCTCTCTCTCTCTCTCTCTCTCTCTCTCTCTCTCTCTCTCTCTCTCTCTCTCTCTCTCTCTCTCTCTCTCTCTCTCTCTCTCTCTCTCTCTCTCTCTCTCTCTCTCTCTCTCTCTCTCTCTCTCTCACTAGTTCAAGATTTTGGGGGTTATGGGAGGTTTTCAGCTCAAGCAACCGGGGAGCCCGTTGAGGAAGCAACTAGGACTTGCCCCCCCCCCACAAGGATTCTTGAATCCATTATAGGAGCACCCCCTCTCCATGTCTTCAGCAACCCAGCACATGGAAAAGTCACAGATGATATTTTTTTTTCCTGCCATGTCTTTCCACGCTCCAGGAAAATAATCATCTGCAGATTTTTCCAATATCCCAGACTCTTGCTCAGAGTGGGGAGGGGAGGGAAGGGGGGGGTCACAGAGGCCCCCTCAGCCAATGGATCAGTGCCATTGTGGGCTAGGGGGCTAGGGCTCCCGCTTCAACCCCACTTGCAAACTTCTTAACCCTCCCTTGGGCTCCAAAACACAGCGGTGTAAATATGTACACGATTCAATGGGGAAAAGATGGTTTCTGTGCCGTCCCATAAGCATCTCAGAAAGAAATTATAAAAAAGGAAAGTGTTTGGTTTTGGGTTTTTTTACTTCGCAGCTCTTGCACGCTTCACGATTGGTCCTTTTGGGGACGGGGAGTGGGGTTTTCTCTTGAGTTCCTTCTCTGGGCTTTCAATCTGGCTCTTCCCATCCTCAGCCAGACCGCTGCTGGTTTTAGGTTGGCCGTCCTTTGCTACCTTGATGGGGCTCTGTTAAGTCCAGGTTCCCCCCTGTTAGATTCCTTCCGCAGGCCAGAAAGGCAGGGAGCTGTTAAAGGATGAACCAGGCCATGCGTGGAAGCAGGAGGCAGACACGTGCACAGTTGTGACCTCTGCTGCCAAATATATGAACCAAAATAAAACAGAAAACTGCCTAGTTGCATCCATTATACCCTGGGTTAATGTTCACATTTGCTCAGAGCAGTGTTTCTCAACCTTGGCCGCTTTAAGATGAGTGGACTTCAACTCCCAGAATTCCCC